TTACTTTGCATTTCGACCCTAATGAAATAGTTGGCTTTAAACAAATTCAAGTAACTTCAGGGAAGAGGTTGTTAAAGATGAATGGGTGTTTTAGTTTACCTATAAAAATATATTAGGGCCAACTTGACAATAGTTAAAGATGTCTAACTGCCATTAAATTCAATGGGGAAAAATAACGCTTGATTCTAATTTAATTCAAGGCATGCCCAACTTTTTATTTCATTTTTTTTAATTTGCAGGGACTTAAATATTGATTCAATAATATGAACCAGTATCTTCTGAAATAAAAGCCAAGCATATGAGTTCTAACATCCTTAGCTACATTAGTAATTTCACTGCTACTTTTGGTATTATCCCAGGATATTACTGGAAACCTTTCACAACCACCAGCAGCTTACTACATGCCTCTGGGCTTCTGTGAAAAGTGCAATAGTGCAAGAAAACTCATGGCTGAATGAGGAATAGTTTTTATCTTTCACAAACGTCCACATCTGCAACCTGTGGCCCTCCTGATGTTGCCGGTTCATGATTTCCATCCTTCCTCTTGACTGGCTATTCTGACTAAGACTTACAATACAGTATATGTAGTCCCTACACTATCTGGGGAAAGGGCTGATGTCCACATCTGTTCCACATAACAGAATGCTTACCATTTTATACAAATACTCTTTAGGGGTTGAGTAACACAAATCATATTAACAAAATGAACAAGAAATCTGCATTCTGATACTCATCTGTACATGCATCAGCAGCAATCATGCACTCCAAAATTGTAGTTTTCTCATGAATCTCAGTGTATAAGGTTTTCTAAACTGGTCTATTGTGACATAAGCTTCCATAAGCAGAATTAAGTTGTTAATAAAGATCAGGAAATCTGATGAAGGAGTCTCCTGCCTCCTATAATAAGGGCTAGTTCAGATAATCATGTTGCTTTGTCCAAACAGGCAGACACTTGCACTACAATCAAATAACCAGGTCTCCAATTAAATATGACTTTCAATTTCATCTAAAGTCGAAAGCTGTAGTTACCAACAGCTTTAGAATAGGCTGGGATATTAAATAACTTCAAAACATGGTTTAGTAGCCTAACATATTCCCAAATGATAGCCATAATTTTCTGGTTCAGACAAAACAGTGGTTTCAGTGCAGCTGTATATCTAGAGACTGTATATCTAGAGTCCCTAGACAAAAGGCCCATGTACATCTCTGTTTATTAAACCATCAGACAATTGCCTGAATATAGCCAAGGTTAAGTCAGGTTTTGGAGTACTGCAGACTGTAGCAAAAAAACAGCAGCAACACCAAAAATCTGCTCCAACCTCTTTGGCTGAAATCCAGAGAAAGTTAACTTCACTTACTCGTTTTAGTTGACAATGCCAAAGATGAGCATAAGCTACTGTGTCACCTTAAATAACATAAGATATGTGTATCACACTACTTCCTCCTTCTGCTTTGACCTGAATCTCTGCTAAACTATCTTTTGTATTGGGCACATTTAGAGTGAAGTTCTCCCATCTTGACTCAGTATTCCAAAAGCAAACGTATGTGATACACTTATTAGATCACTTTTAAAAACAAACCATAAACAAATACTAGCTTTTGGACTCTACAGACCTTCATCAGCCTGGGCATGGTCCAAACGCTAGTACTGTATTTGTGATTTTTTTTTTTTTGCGGTCTAAGAAAGGTCTACTCTTGCCTTTGGTTTGTGTACAAGGACCACACAGCTTTTTCTTTTTCCTTCTGTTTGACTCATTAAGGTAACAGGAGCATAGGGGTCACTGGAAATTATTTTAACTCCAGACCTATGCCTAGAACTGAGGAATACTCTCTACCGAGATCAGTAGGCAGCATTCAAATTAACCAGTATGGACCTGCAATGCAAATCCAGACCCATATACGATGTTTCTTAAAGCATGATGCAGAGCTCCATATATACCGTATATGAAAAGAAATCACTCTGGAACTGCAATATCCTCTTTTGCTATTCACCACTCAAATCGATGGTCATCTAGCCTCTAATTAATGAGCAGCCTACAGACTGACCCAACTGCAAGTAGAAATGTCAACTTACTATTGGTATGGATAGCAGAAACATCTACTATACTCACAAGTACAGCACGAGGGGAGACACTGTGAAGGAAACTGTCGGAAAATCAGCTGCTGTAAGTTCTGATTTCTTTGCTACAGATCACAAATGTGGGATCCCAAGGGTCTCCCTGCCACCACGTGTTCTAGACTACATTGATGTTACTTCCACCGTAAGACTCTTTCACATATTTTATTCAACCAGGTTCCATATGTAATCATAATTCTTCTTTCATCTAAGTTTTTCTCTCCACAGGATATCCTTCTTTCCTAGCTGCAAAAACAAACAGATTGCAAAATCACTCCTCGACTTCCCTGATGTAAAAGGAGCAACAATACAATGGGCTGGTGCTGAGGCACAGATAGGTTCAGCAACTCTTCGCTCAGACCTTCTGTCCTACTAACAGCATCACTTCCTGATTCTGGAAAAAAAAAGTTCCATAAATTGTGCCAAGTGTGGAAGGGCACCATGGATCAGGCTGTGGACCTCAACGGACATGCAAGGGGGTGGCATGTTTGGCAGCTTTGGTAAATTATACTGAGTATTCAGCAAAAACTACTTAAAAGTATGGTTTCTTGTTATAGGGGAATATAGGAGAATATTACCAAATTCTCCAATGCTTCAAGTACCATGAAGGTTATTGTGCACATTGAAAGTGGTGTGTGTGACAAAACCGAACCTGCACACTTTCAGGGTCCAATCGGGAATCTCCTATCCATAGCTAATAGTCACTGCACCCTCTAGAGGCCACTGCCATTCAAATAACATTTAGAATGCACAGGTCTCATAAAATAGTACCCAAAGTTCTGGACCAACTAGACACCCTTCTCAGAAGAGCACTGTTGTTGTCTTATGCTGAGTGCACAACTAGAGTGGCTTCTGTCCAAACTTGGTACAGAAGTCCCTTTCTTGTTCATCACTCCTAACAAAAGCTACTGTAAATATCAAAGGAAAATATAGGCCAAAGTTCAAATTGTCAAGAGTATGGGGAAACATTCTGAACAAGCAGCTATGTCCCCAAAGTTTTGTTAATATCAAAATCGTAACTCCCCCACAAAACAGGAATCCTATATTACCTTTAAAAAAAAAAGAAACATATAAAGCTCACATCCTTTCTCACTTACGGAATATATGGCCCAAAATTCAAATAAAGAAGAATGCACCGAAACTGTAGATCCATTTTTTAAAAAATACATGTACAATATAGTACACACAGTGCCTGGTTTTCTATTGGAGCCAAATTTCCCCTACCAAATTGTCAAGAAATAATAACACCAAACATAGGCCTCAAAGTACACAATGGCCAGAAGAATCATACTGCTAATTTATGCTTGCATAAGAAAAATTGAGTAAGACTTGGTGGCAAATTGCCATTTATTAATGAGATGCAATTAGCTGCACAAAATATATGCAGTTCTTATGTAAGCTTAAGTTAACAATAGGGTTCTAGCTGGCAAATCACAAGTGTTTCCTTGTAAGAGTATTGCAATGTGAGCTATTTCAGGTACTGTATCTATAAATTAAAAGGAGCCAGAATACTATAGCAGAGTTGTGATTCTGTGACTCTTTCTACCTAAAGCACATCTGCATGCAGAACTGCACAAAAGATTTTTACATCCACAGTTATGTTCTGTGAAAAACAGATGTTCCATCCAGAGTCTATGCTTTCTGTCATACTCAGTTCTGGTATCAAACAAGGCCTATTTTGGCCTCTGGTCCATCATGGTAGAACTATGAGTAAGGTTCATCCCCAGCAAGTTGAATCCAATGGGGGGAAAATTCATTTCTGTGGCCAAAATATCTTCTCCAACCATGCCTATTAAAAGCACAGCAGCTGTCTTAATATTACTTCTCAATAAGAACAAGGAATAAAATGCAAAACACATCTTCGGTAATTTAGATTACCACCATTAACAGGAAAAGAAAAAAAATCACCTTTCTCTACGCATGTGTCTCTTTTTTTAAAAACAAAGTTCCCTTCTTCCCACGAACTGTATATTAAATTATTACGGAAACCGTGTGGCCATTCACGACGTTCGGCTTGCTTTTTTTTCCCCCAAAGGGAACCATTGTAAGCCTTGAAGGGGTCCCTTTCAGAAGGGCTCTGGAAGTGCAGCAGGCTCCTTAACTCTTGCTCCCATATTTTACCTCACTCCCCATCCACCCACCCCCTTTTCGCCTCCGCTTTCCCTCCTTCCCGCTCGCCCTCCCTCTTTCCCGATCTTGTGACAATGGTGCCTTCGCCGTTCAGGAAGGGAAGGGGTGTCGGTTCCGCCGGCGGCGCTCGTCGGGAAAGGCCGCGCGGGTTCCTGCCTTTGCCAGGGTGGGGAAGGAGCGCGGAGGGAGGGGTTAGGGTCGCGGGACAAAGGAAAGTGCGGAGCTCTCCTCCGAGCCGAGCCTCCCTGCCCTCCTCGGGGCCCTTTTCCAGCATGTCCAGCTAGCCGCCCCTCGAGGGCTGGAGCCCCGACGCGCGCTGTGCGCGGCTCTTGTGGGGATGATGAGGAGGAGAATTCCTGTTATTCCCTTTTTGACAAGGGGGTGGGGGTGGCCTGGTGCGGCTGCCGCTCCTACGGCTCAAGGGGCTGTTGCACCTTCGGGGTGTCAAGCGAGAGGCTCTCGCAAAAAGTAACTGGTGCGCGTCCCTTCACGTTATTCCCCAACCCAGGCCGGCCATTTATTCTCCTTTTGCAAGGAGCTCCGCTGTACAAGGCAGCAGCGGAGGGGAGGGTGTGTGCCTTCGAGGGGGGGTCGTCTTCGGTGCTTTCTGCGTGGTCCCTGGGGGAGACCCCCCCCTAAATAAAAAACCCGCTTCTTTTACGAGGCCGGCGCTGGGAGCGGGGCGGGGGCTGAAGAGGAGGAGAAGGAGGCGGCGGCGGCTTAAAGCGAAATAAGGAGAAGATAAAGCACTTACTTTATCGATGGTGCCCGGCAGCAGGCGATCCAGCAGCCTGCACAGCACCACCCCGTCTTTCAGAGACGCTTGCAAAAATCCCTCCGGGTCCAAGATGCTCTTTTTGGGCGATTCCAGCACCCCCAGGGTGATCAGCCATGTAACGGTTTGCTCTGCTGAATTCATGGCTGCTGCCAAGAAGAGGCTTTTAAATTCTTTTTTTAAATTTGTGTGTTAAATCCAAGCGAAGAGTCCAGAGCGAGAAATCGCACGGAGGAGGCTTAGTCGGATTA